TCGTCCTCGGCCAACCCGGCTCGGGCAAATCGTCGCTCATGAAGATCCTCTCGTGCCACTTTCCCATGCACAAGAGCATCATGGTGGGCGGCACCGTCACGTACAACGGCGCCACGGACAGCGAGGTTAAGCGCGATACCGTCTTGCCCATCGATGACAAGTTGCCTATGACAACACCAGCTTTCTTGGCCAGTCTGTTTGCACAATGTGTGCGCGAGACGCATTATTTCCTCATTGTGTAAAAACAAAGAAGCGTTCCCTTTCAAGTTGCTCAATATCGCGTCGCACGAGCCGACGAAATGAGTCAGAGCATCCCAACCCCGAGAACGCACCAGTAGTTTCGATCCTGGATCTCTGCAGCCTCGCGTCGATACTGCAAATAAATGGTGAAGCGTTTGCCAAGTACAGGCACGTGTACGAGATGGTGTGCGATGATTGATAGACTACATTTGGCGCGACCATAGGCTTCGTTTGCTTCTGCCGCATTCTCGCGCTCCTCTCGCTTGGCGAAGTCCACCTCCAAAAGATGTGAGTGTGAAGAAAATCTATAAAAAATAACTTGTATTCACAAGTGGTGCTTGAAAAGATGGTCGACTGCTGAGTGTCATCTGATTTAACGATCGACGCTGTACAGTGTGTAGTAGCCGTGGGATCAACGGGTGTGGTGTGTCGGGAATGCCGAGAGTTCGGTTGATGGGGTTAGGGAAGGGTTAGGGTACAAAGAGTTAGGCTTTTCGACGCTGGGGGAGCACTGAGAGACGAATAAATCCGTTAAGTAAACGCATTGGTGTCACCGTGTGACATACCCCAGTAGATTGGCCAAGGTCTACAATGCTGTGTTCAAAATCGCGTTTGAGAAAGCGGCGCTGTACAGGAGCCATTGGCATCCAACTTCAAAACATGATCAAACTCGCTTGCACGTGGCGCCTCTTTGGCGTGGGCATGGCAGCACACACACGGTGAAAGGCTCGTACAAGATACATTATGTATTGAAAAGCAGGCACTGCCTATCTCTTTTGGTGATTGATGTAGCGCAGCGAGACGAGCGCGAAGACGCGATACAGCAAGATGAAGCCAATAACCGCGAAAACGTTGGCCCACCGGTAGTCAAACTTCATTACGCACACCATTAATGAAAAGAAAAGTGAATTATGCTGGCTCGCTTTTACTAGCGACGTGTGCCATCGTGAGCAACACCACCGCCACTGCCGTCTGCTACTTTTCGGTAACGTTGTCAGCATCTAGACTTATAGCAATATGAAAGGTTTTGCAAAGAAATGGATTGATGAAAAGAAAGTGAATTATGCTGGCTCGCTTGCACTACATGTAGCGACGTGTGCGTAGATCCGGGTTCGAGTGCCGGTGACCCCCCTTTCTGATTGAGTTGACCGGTGATAGATAGCGGTGTTTTGGGTCCGAGTTTCACACCGGACTCTTTCCAAAGCGAGGGATCCCCGATCGTGTTGGGTGGCACCAAGTTTTCTGGGCTGTCAAGAACCGACTAGATGGTACCGATGCCAACGCCAATGGGAAAGAGAAGAAAGCGATAAACGCCTACGGGGCTCGAACCCTGCACCTCCTGCGTGTGAGCCACCAACTGGACAATGGTGGTCGACGTAGTGCCATGTGCATTTTGACATGATCAATCCCGTGCTCCATTGCTGGTTGGTGTCGCAGGTCTTGGGTGCCTGAGAATACGACTACTGACTGTGAACCGCGTCCCACGACCACAAATTGCGGCCACACGGCGGAAGGGGTCAACGTGTTCCACTCACTGCTGGTCGTGCTGATCGTGCTGATCGTGCTGATCAGCCATCGGAACTGATGATGATGACTGTAGTAATCGCGAGTGAAATTTCACACACTGTCTCATCTGCTGATCCGCATTGGAAAGAATAGTAAGCAAACGGCAAACTGGGTCGGTCGTCCACACACCCCGTCGCTCGTCAGCAAAGCGGTCGTCGCAACAAGCTTGGAATGCCGCCAGTTTAAATTAGTTGTGGGAATTCAAGAATGACCCAACGATTACGAAAGAGTTGCTATTGTAGCAATGACTACTACTATGAATACCAGCACCAACGGAAAAAGCTATCAGAACTGCGCATCGTTCTCTTGGGTACTCCTGCGAGCACCATCGATACTTCGGGTATCGGCCATGTGGCAGTGGTTTGTGAACGATCCAAAGCGCACATGAGCACTGCTTGTCTTTGGGCCGACGTCCCCGGAAGCCCGAGACAGTATCATCACTCCTGGGTCACACTCTTCTTGCGGCCTTCAAGAACAAGAAGAATGACGACGCGTGCTCGTGCAAGACGGCGAGGATGTGGGGCAACCAGGTGTGGTACCGAGTACGTAGACCAAAATGGATATGCCATCACCCATATCTCTCTTGAGAGGCAAGGGAATTGGCGGCTTGGGCTGCTATCGTACCGGTAGGTTGCTACTCGATCGATATTGGCTTGGACAGACGAGCTCGCCCCTTGCTATGCACGTGATCAAGCATGGTCACGTCATGCAGCCCGCGACATCTGAGTTGCCAAACCTGCGACACTCGATATGGTCACAACCACACGCATTCGTCTTGCACACAGTACACTCTCAAATGTCCTCTACAATGTGATATTGCCGTTCCTAAAGGTGGCGCTCCGACAGCCATGGGACATCGCTCTCATAGCCCATGCGGGTTAAAGTTTGACAAGGAGCTGCTGGAGCACCCCCTTAAATGAAAATCAAGCAACAAGCAGCAATCGATTACTATGGTAGTACATCGTTGATGAAAGCTGTCGATTTCATCAACAGATACGCGATGAAATGCGATGCCATCACGAACAAAGATCACAGCGGATGCGACCACAACCAGTTTTGAATTTGCGGGATCGTGAGCATGCCACCATCGCCTCAATCGGCCGACGCCTTTCTGCAAGACGGCTCGGACGCCTTCCATGCGTCCTTGGCCGCGCAGCTCGAGACGTCCATGGGCAAGGCCATGCCGCAGATGGAAATTCGCTTCCAGGATCTCTCCATTGCGGCCGAAGTCTCCGTCGCCACCAAGGACGGCCATGAGCTGCCTACCTTGTACAACCACGTCAAGAAGATTGCGCGCGGCCTCGCCCGCAAGAAGCGCTCGATCCGCAAGGACGTCCTACACCCAATGTCGGGTGTCTTCAAGCCCAGCACGACGACGCTCCTTCTTGGTCAACCCGGCTCGGGCAAGTCGTCGCTCATGAAGATCCTCTCGGGTCGCTTTCCCATGCACAAGAACATCACGGTGGGCGGCACCGTCACTTTCAACGGCGCCAAGTCCGAAGACGTCAAGGCGCAGCTGCCGCAGTTTACGGCCTACATGAACCAACGCGACTTTCACTACCCGACCTTGTCGGTGAAAGAGACACTCGCCTTTGCGCACGCATGCAGCGGTGGCGCGGCGGTGCCCCAACGCGTCCTCGACTCTCTCCAGTACGGCTCGCCCGAAGAAAACGCGCAGGCCAAGGCTGTGATCCAGTCGCTCTACAACGTCTACCCGGA